GAGTGTACTAAGTAGAAAGTCCCAAGCACCTGTACTTTGTATCTGCCGTACTCTCCAGTGGAGCCACCATAACGAGCATCCTGTGTGGAAGACATTTGGACAAAGGACTAGAGTTAGACCACTGATCCCCAGCACAGGGATTTTTATGGTTTGAGTCTGAAGTGCCCCCCAGTGGCTCATAAATTGAAAGTTTGGTGCCATTGTAACAATATTCAGAGGTGGAGCTTTTGTATTAATTCATTGGTGGGTTCAGAGTTTGACGTGCTATGGGAAGGTGATGAAAACTCAGAAGGTAGGATTGTAGCTGGAGCATGGGACCTTGTGGGTTGTGGGGGGATCCCTTAGGGAGCCATAAGGTGAGCAGTTTTCCCCCACCACGCTCTTCTGCTATGATGTTTCTACCTAAAAGCAATGTAACCAGCTGACCATGGACTGAAACCTCTGAAACCATAAGCCAAAATATTTTTTAATTGCAGATGTTTTCCTTGTATATTTTATATCATTTTCAGAAATCTGTCTAATTCAGGGCCTCTTGTGATAGGCTGGCTCCCAAGGGGACTTCCCATCTGAGCAGCTGTCCTTCAGCAAGACTTTCTTTCCCATCCAATCTTACTTTCCTCGGCGCTTTCAGGTGTGTCAGACCTGCTCTGTGGTCTGAATGCTCTTGACCCCTATTGCTCTCACTTTTTCTGTCCTTTTCTCTCCTTTACCTTCTGGAATTTTCCCCACCACCTCTTATATATGTCTTGCCTTTTGAAGTGCATCTTGGCACCTGATACCAGGGTGTCTGACACACATCTTGTCTCATGGGGGAAAACAAGAAGAAGGAAGGAGAAAACAAGAAATTCTAAATACTTTCACTATCCAAGAAGCCTACAAACCTCCATTTTTCATCCTTCCTTTACTTAACCAAAAAGTAAAACACTCGTATAAATAAAGTACTGAAGATTGTAGTAACTGACAAGAAGGAAATAAACATGATAAGGTCGGAAAGAGGAAAGGGTAAGGGAGGAAGTTATCTTTTGCAAATGATATACCTGATAAAGGAATGTTGTCTAAATGCACACAGTTCTTAAAACTCAATAATTAAGACATCCAACGAAAAATCTGGCAAAATATCTGATCAGATGTCGCACCAAAGGAGATGATAAACATATGAAAATACGGTCATCATTAAAAAATTGAATCTATGAGTTGCCATTACACATGTGTTGGAATGGCTCATGTCCAGAACACAGACATCAAATACCAATGAGGGTTTAGAGAAAAACTAGTTCTCAATCACTGTTGGTGGGATATAAAATGGCATATCCAGGGCCGGGGATTGAGCTCAGCGGTTCAGTGGCCTCCTTTGCGAGCGCAAGGACCCGAGTTCAATCCCGGGTACCAAAATAAATAAATAAATAAATAAATAAATAAATAAATAAATAAATAAATAAATAAATAAAAGGGTATATCCTGTGTGGAAGACATTTTGGCAGCTTCTGTCAATGCTTGACATTGAGCGTAACCAGCAATTGCACTCCTTGATAATTACTCAAAGGACTCAAAAACTTATGCCCACACAAAACTGTGCACACAAATGTGAACTACAGTTTTATTCAAAAATACCAACTCTTACAAATGACCACTATGTCATTGATAGGTGATGGGAAAAATAAACTGTGAAACACTTAGACAATTGAATATTATTAAGTGATTTTTTTTAATGTGCTATCAAATCACCCAAAGACACGAAGGGGACTTAAAAGCATATTACCAAGTGTTAGAAGCCAATGTGAAAGTGCTACTGACCGTAAGAGTCCAACTGTATGACATCTGGAAAAGGCAAAACTATAGAGGCAGTAAAAAGATCACTCGTTGCCAACAGTTGGCCAAAGGGAAGGGTAAAATGGGTTTTCAGAGCAATGAATTGCCTGTATTGTACTATAGGAATGGATCTATATCATTAAACAGTTTTTCTAAGCCATATAACAATTAGAGTGAGTAATGTAACCAACAGACTTTCTTTAATAGTGATGCGTCAATGTTGACTCACTGAGCAGAGCAGGTGTGCCACACAGCTTCGGGAGGTAAGTGGAGAAGAGCTTGTGTACTTTAGGTGGAGGAAACTCTTTCCACCTCCAGCTCAGTTTTATTTTGAACTTCACTGTTCTAAATAATAGAGGCGCTGCCTGATGTCACCAGAATCTTTGGATGTTGGAAAGTTTTTCCTTCCCCTAAAGCCTGGACCTGATTCTGGGGCCACAGGGATATGTGGACTGGGAGATATTTCTGCCTATTGTAGTAACTAGTTCTCCACAAGCTTCAGTATTGAACAAAGGGCCGTGAGATTTCTGAATCTGATGTAGGAGTAAAACAAGCTGCTGCAGGAGAGGATCCTGGATTGAGAAGAGGAGTTCCTGGAAATCTTTGGGAACTGTTGTTTACTATGGCTTTGAACTGAGAGCAAAGGTCCCTCGATATGTGGCTGAGAAAATAAGTTTATTGTTCCATAGTTCTGGAATCAGAGATAAAAGTTGGTTGGTTCTTTTTGAGGGCCGAGCTGGAGAATCTTTCCTACCTGCTGATAGTTTCCAACAATCTTGGGCACTTTAGTTTGTGCAAGCCTCTTCCTGATCTCTGTCTTTGTCTTCACACAGTGTTCTACTTATGTGCATGTCTCTGAGGCCAAGGATTTCCTTGTTGTAAAGACACCAGTCATATAGATCTAAGGTCCAACCTAATTAATTCATTGTAATGTAATTACATCTGCAATGAGCTTATTTCCAGACAAAGTCACATTCTGAGACTTGAATATAGAAAGTAGGAAGAGGAGCAGAAACAGTGCAACCAAGAATGGGAGTCTGGCATATGAAGTGTACTACCATCTCATGAGGAAATCCACCCTAGTGACTCTTAGGACAATCTAGATACTACTGAGTAATTACCAGTCTCAACTCTCAGAGGCTTAATATAACAGGTTTGTTTTCTGTGCTAACAGTGGCAGCGTATTTCAGGACAGGTGTCCTCAATGCATGGCTCAGCACACAGATTACCCCACCTTCAAAACCCACCATGGAGCGCACTAAGGCCAGGAGTTACACCTGGTTTTCTCTGGTACCAGCTTGGAGCGACCCTTCACATTGATGCCCGTGAATGCAGCAAACCCAGGAGTGCACCCCTGTGAAGGACCAGAGACTGAGGCACAGACAAAGTGTTCACAAGCATCATGATGTTTACTTCAGTCCACTCTCACCACGGGTTGGTGAGCAAGAAAGAAGATATGCATTTTATGAACTGTGAGATACTGCATCCCCAGAGCCAGAGGAAAAAAGGAGCATTCCAACAGCTGCAGCCTGGGGCTAAGGAGGAAGCAGAGGTTTCACAGGAATGGCAAGGACAGCCTCTGTCTTTCCTTAGGATTAGAAAACTAAGGGATGACATAGGAGGAGGAAGAGAATGAAGAGGAAAAACAGAAGGAAACATTGGCCCTAGTTGCAAAGAAATGGAATCTGCCCTTTCAACCTTCCCTTGATGGGCTGTGGGGGCCCCAAGGGCAGGAGTAGGGTGTAGTCCTCATCACTTCCCAGAAGTCTGCACAGGAGCTTTGTAGAAGCTTTGCAGTGTGTGCTTCCTGGGAATGAATGATTGTTGGAGCCAGTGAATGAACAGCACTAATTGCTCTTCCCTATCCCCAGATGCTACATTTAGCAGAAGAAAGGAGCAACGCTTGCTTACTAAATGACCAATTTGCCGTACAGATGAGTCCGTGGTCTGTCGGAGCTCACAGCCCTTGTCCACCATGGAAGTGGTTTCATGGAGGTGTCTGACTGGTGGTCACACACAGACCTGGCTATGAGAATTTACCTGGGCAGGAGCTAAGCCATGGGAAAGTCCTCCAATGACCTGAAATGTATGCGGGAAACAGCCCATCGCATGAAAGATTTACCAGGGCTTCACAAACATACAACTAATAAAATAAATAAAAATTTTCCAAGGCTCGTCTCTGTCACGCCGACTGATCTGGGAAGAAAGGTGAGTACCCAGGAGACCGGGTCGGCCAATCTTTGAGTACAGCAAGTGACCACACCTATGCCACACCACGTGACCATCAACCCCAGCTATTTAAGAGCAGCTGAAGTTCAGGAAAAATAGTCACTTGGCAGCACCAAATCCAGCATCCTCATCCTCGGAGAGGTAAATACCCAGTCTAATCCCCAGGGAAAAGCATTAGAATTCCTGCTCATTTGTTGCCTTTGGGAACAAGGGTGTCATGTGTTTGCATGTGCATGCGTGTGTGTGTGTGTGTGTGTGTGTGTATCCCATGTGTGCATCAGCATTGCTGTGCACAATTGGCGTGTACAAAAGATGGTGAACATGTAAGTGTGCTGTGGGAGTTTGTAAGGGTGCTGAACACAGGATGTGTGAAGGAGTGGAGAGCTCAAGACCGTGTATACACAACATCCAAGTGCAAGCATGCTTGTTGAGTAGGAGTGTATGCATTTGCACTCGGCATGAGGTCGGAAGGGCTTACAAAGAGAGGTTGTCACTTTAGTTCAAGAGAAAAATATTGGGAATCAGATTCAATCTATGGAATCTGTACAGGAACATGCAAAAAATGCCTAGTAGAAAGGCAAAACCTCTGACCTCTGATCAGCATTTTGGAATGAACCTCCTTCCACCCTCCTAAGAATTCTGTCTGATGAGGAGAAAGGGAGCTCTCATTGCTGTATCATGTGAGGTCTCCAAAGGTCGGAGGCCTGCATGTCTGCGACATCACTCCACAAGTCTAGGAAGGGTGAGGAGGTGGTGTGTGTCCAAGCATTGCTGAAAGTCATTCTGTGTGCTGTCATGTGTGACAGAGATGTTCGCTCCATTGTAACCTGGATGGAAGGCACACGTGTGCTCCAGGGCTGTAGAGTTGGGCAATAGAGTAAGCACCAGTACAGAAGATGAGACCGAGTGGGAGAGAAGTTCAGGCCAATGAGTGTGCACTTGTCCTTCACAGAGCTCTCAGCATGAAGCCCCTTCTGCTGCTGGCATTGATCGTGGTCTCTGGTAAGAGCTGACCCTGATCTCTGAGCACAGGGAGAGAAGCATCCTGACCCCCACTTTTGCTTCTTTCTGGAACAGTCTTCTCTCAATGGGAGGAGCAGAAAAGACATTTGTGAGAGGGAAGGAACAGGGAGGAGGGCTCCGCCCCCCATCACAAGGCCATTCCTTTCCAGGCTTTGGAACAGTCTTCTCTCAATGGGAGGAGCAGAAAAGACATTTGTGAGAGGGAAGGAACAGGGAGAAGGGCTCCGCCCCCCATCACAAGGCCATTCCTTTCCAGGCTTGCCTCAAATCTATGGCGATTTGCTGCAATTCTCAAGGATGATCAAGAGCAAGACAGGAAAGAACGCACTTTTAAGTTATGGTGCCTACGGTTGTCACTGTGGCAAGGGTGGCAGAGGAACCCCCAAGGATGCAACAGATTGGTGAGAGTACCCCAGCCTTCCCTGCCCTCTGCTCACTTCTGGTACTGACAGGGCTCTGAGTTGCAAGGATAGAACTGTTGCCCAGTGGCTCCAAATTCCCAGGAAATACCACCTGGAAAAGCAGCCACCATGTTGTGCCCTAGACCATCCCAAAGTCACTGGGTCTCTGTCCAATGTAAGGAAAGATGGATGAAGGGACATCAAAAGCCCTACAGCTGTGAGAAGGAAGCCCCAACAGGTTGTTCTCCTTCCAGGTGCTGTGCCAGGCACGACTGTTGCTACAAAAATCTGAAAAAACTTAGCTGTGGCACAAAATTGCTGAAGTATGATTATACCATAGCAGGGAGCTCAATCACCTGCAAAGGTAAGAAAGCCCTGTGACACCATCGTGTTTCCTTCGTGCATGTACTGAGTGCCCACTGTGCCAGGCACCACACTGGGCACCAGAGACAGAGCCACAAAGAAGCACAGTCTCTGTCTCAAGAAGCTCAGGATTGAGTGGGAGGCAAGGAAGCTGAGAGCACCAGGCGGGGAAGGCTGCAAAGGAAGGAAGCAAAAGACAGACCCTCAACACACTTTAGGCTCAAGGAAGCTCCTCGAAGTGGTGTCATCTGTGCTGAGTCCCAGAGGCTCTGCAGAGAGGCAGGGGACTGAAGGGGTGTGGCATTCCCAGAGGAGGACCTGAGGGGACCACAGACCATGCTGTGCCACCAGGGGAAGTGTGAGGACAGGAAGGGTGGTGAGACAGGGAAGGGGCTGGACCAAGACCCTCCAGGCCAAGTGTCAGTAGGTTTTGTCCTAAAGCAGTGGGGAGCTATTGAGCAAGAGAGTGACAGGAGATGATCAGTTCAGAGGACTCACCCTGCCCTGTTCAGTAGACTAATGGCCCATTAACCAGCAGAGGCCACTTTGAGGAACTCACACAGGGCTCCTCTGCACCCCAAGGGCTTTGAGAGAGGCGTTCCCGTGGGGTGTGAAGCAGAGTCCGGGCATGTGGTGCTCTGTGTCCCCATCGGCTTGAAGGCAGGAATGCTGCCTCCCATTGGTCAGCAGGTCCTTGTGTCAGATGAGGAGCTTCCTCCTCACAAGAATCCATGGAATAATAAAAACTTCCCATCTGGTGACTGCCCTCTTCTAATTTCAGCAAACCAGAGCTCCTGTCAGAAGCAGCTGTGTGAATGCGATAAAGCTGCTGCCTCCTGCTTTGCACAAAACCTGAAGAGCTACAAGAAAATATACCAGACCTATCCCAATTTGATGTGCCGTGGGAAGACCCCCAGTTGCTGAGAAGCCCAATTTCTCGGAGCTCTTGCCACCCCGTGCTGAGTCCCCATCTCCCACTCTTTTTGTCCCTCCCTCAACCCAAGTCGCCCAGCTCCATCCACTGTCCCACTCTGTGCCCACTTTTGGGCTAAACACAGCAACTACACTGGCTGGTGAGGCCTCCCAAATAAAGTAACTCATTTATAAACTGTGTTTGTTGTGTGCTCTTGCCACCCCGTGCTGAGTCCCCATCTCCCACTCTTTTTGTCCCTCCCTCAACCCAAGTCACCCAGCTCCATCCACTGTCCCACTCTGTGCCCACTTTTGGGCTAAACACAGCAACTACACTGGTTGGTGAGGCCTCCCAAATAAAGTAACTCATTTATAAACTGTGTTTGTTGTGTGACCCCTTGCCTTCACTCTTTGTGTGAAAGTGCACTATACCACAAACCAATACATAGTGAACAAATTTAAAGTCTAGGCTCTGGACTCAGGCTGTCCTGTCCCACAGTCCTAAGCCCTGGTTTTCTCATCCAACTAGAGGCAACACTCATGCTGCCTGCTTGGGCGTGTTTAAAACTCAAGGAGCCACACATACAAAGCCGGGTCTGTCTTGTGTTCAGCTGCCTGAGACTCAGGCATCCCTCTCCTCTTCCTGGGCCACAGCAGCTCCTACTGGCTTATTAAGGGATGGAAGAATCATCCGAATCAAAACAAAACCATGCTTTCCATTGCCAAATTAACTAAATGCCTGCGGTAAGGAGCACCATACAACCCTGCCCAAATACTGCATCAGATAAACTAAAACCCCGAGCCAGTACCCTCATCTAAGCGTGGCACTGTGACCAAACCCTTACAATTACCTGATGGAGTTTAGGATTTTCTTTTGTCCTTGAGAGATTGATACGAAAGAAAATGGGATTTCAAAATCCTAAAGATGCAATCAAGTTCAGCTTTGGGTCCTTCAGGCAATGATAATTATGACACATCCCTGTACCCCTTCTTCCTTTTTATTTAAATCAGTGGGACAGGGTAATTCCTAGACTGCAATTATTGCATTAACGCATAGAGGCTTTTTAGCTTTCTTATTTTTTTTCTCTGCCTAGCTCAGCTCTGCTGACATTTTCACTTATATGATGATAAACTAGAATGAGATGGAACAGGAAGAAGCCCACTTAAAAGTTTTCTCACGGCGTGTCAGAGAGTAGAGGAAACGATAAAACTTTTTAAATAATAGTTTTGCAATTTATGAAACTCCGAGGCAACCTGTACGCCTAAGAGTGATCCTTCTGTGAAGTGAAAAGTTCGGTTTAGGAGGCTTTAACTGCTTAGGGTAATGAAATTGTTCTGCCATTTTAAAACCACTTTTATGCCTTATTTGAAATCTTAAACAGCAACGTAAAATCTGTACCTACTGTAAAAATTGCTTCTTCTGTCACACGGACCAGAAAAAAACAAAGAAAAACTGCAAACAACCTTTTAAGAATCATTTATAAAATATGTGCCACATAAATTGATCAGTCAAGCAAAACCAGCCAGGTAAACAAATGAAAGACAACTTAATTATTAAATTCAAGGTTGTTTAGAGATTTTTAATTCCAGCCAGTCTTTTTAAAATGTAAAATATAAACATTGGATTTTTTTTTTTCTAAACTAAACCAATTCAAGACTGGGAAAGATAAGGGGATGCAAAAGAAGACCTTTTTTTAACACGAAACTACTATAGGAATTGCTTTATAGGACAATCTTGTCCACAGTCTTAAGAAAACTACTGAGCAGGAAAAATGAAAATCTTAAAAGTTTAGCTACATGAACAAGTAACAAACTTGCCCCGTTTTGTTAGAAACATACTGATTTTAATCATCGCTCTATAAACCAGTGAGTTTATATAACTATATTTTCAGTCTTGTGGCAATTTTTTTTTTTTAAGGTGCTGGGAATTGAACTCAGCTCCTTGTGCTTGCGAGGCTGGAGGCAGCACCACTGAGCTAAATCCTCGGCCCCAACATTTTTAAAATGAAAGCCATAAGACCTTTATTTGTATATATATATGTGCTTGTGTGAGTTACACATGAGTATATGTGGTGAGTTATGCCTGCATAATAAAATCATAGGAATTTTATTTGGCTTATCTATAAATGAACATTTACAAAAATTGAGACTCTTCCCAGTATAGTAATTAACCAAAATATCTCCTGATTCACATGACCTAAGAAAATCTTTGATAAATAAGGCGGTTTTAAATATCTTGGTAAAATATAAGTGAAGAGGTCTTCCGAATTGACAGCATACATTTTTGCCAGGGTTTGCTGGACAGGCAGGGTTTTATATGTCTCTGTTATACTTTTAAGATCACAAAGGCATAAGCACCCATTGCTTCCTGTGTGTCAAGCATATTAATTAAGCATTTGAAGTCATTCCTGGACCAAGAAATAACTCAAAATGAGGACTGTGCTTGTTTAACAGAGTACTCTTCATAAATAGTCTAGGTATAACTGCTAAAAATGAATAAATGTAGATAGATACAGATAAGTGCTTAAAAACTTGCCATTAGAAGTTTTATGTTGTTATCTTAAACTAAGCAATGGATACTCATAAAAGGAGTTATTTGTAAGTCAAAACACTGCAACATCAATTGATAAATAGAAATTCAAGCACACATATTCTTGAATTCTACAGAAAAGACAATATATTTTTGTCTATTAATAAATATTTCTTTCTTTCTTTTTTTTTTTTTTTTTTTTTTTTGGTACTGGGGATTGAACTTGGATCCTTGTGCTTGTGGATAGGTGGTGGAACCACTGAGTAAAATCCCCGGCCCCTTAATATGTATTTCTTATTCCACATTCATTATTTTGCTCTAATAGAGAGCATATCTTACATACAATAAAATATATATTGATAAATGGTTGGCATATAAGGCAAATATTTAAAATGGTTAATTCCTAGATTTTCTCTTCATTAAAGATGAAAGATTTAGGTTACTGTTGAAATTTCTAACTAATATATGTCTATAACTCATTATATAAGGTGTACCAGAAAATTAAGATGTATTTTTATAAGGGAAAACTATACAAAAAACATTAACTTTAAGGATTATTCCAAAATATAAATTTAAGGAGGGAAATACAAACAGGACAGAAAGGAACCAGTAAATGCTGTAGAGAAATATAAAGAAAGTCATGAGTGTTTTTTGTATATTTTCTGGGAAGGAAAATTAGAATCAGGAAAATAACTTTTGTGTGTAGGAGAAAGAATTTTGTGTGATAGAATGATGATTTTTCCCTAAAATGCTATGGTTTGATTGTTCCAAAATGGGAAGAAAGAAGCACAGTAAAGCTAAAGGATTAAGCAGGATTAATTTATATTATCAGTTGATGTTTCAGTATTTTGACTTAGAAAGAATTCATTTTATGAGTATCTGTTGCTTAGTTTAATATAGCAATATAAAACTTCAAATGACAAGAGCTCGCAGCACAATGTAGAAGGTTTCTCAAGAACAAATTTATGAAAGAAAATGTGTGGGCACAAGTTAAAAGTAAAATAAAATATAATTAGAGGGAAATTAGAGGTTTATGTAAAAATTAACTATTAATACATTGATATAGAACCGGGGTCTAACTCTGTGTTTAAAGCAACAAGGCTTTTGTGAAATATTGATCGGCTCATATTAAAGATTTAGAAGTAGCAGTCACAGTAGCCTGTGAGCACCTGTGGTCTCAGGTGCTCAGGAGGACAAGGTGGGGAGGACTATTTCAGTCCAGGAGTTCAAGGCCAGCCTGGGCAACTTAGCAAAAACTGCTTTCAAGAAAATTTGCAAGAGGTTTTGATTATTAATTCTGAAATCTTTTAAATAAATTTTCAACCAGCTGCACTGCAACTTTTCCTATCTTCCAGTTTCTGTTTCATCAGTGACTCTCCCTCAACTTTTTAGTCAGTTCCCATAAATGTATTTTTCTCCCCAGTTCTGGCTCTGCTAGTGAGGTTTGACACTTAAAATGTTCATCTTAAAGGCCTAGGATAACTCAATTCTTTATCCTTGGTTTTATTCTTGGCTTGTGATGCAAATTCAGGTGACTGGGCCCCGTTGCATTGACTGCTGTTCTCCTGGTTTTTGTTTGTTTGTTTGTTTGTTTGTTTGTGTTTTTATTTTGGAAAGTGGCCCATATCTAAGTGCAGCCCAATTGTCTAAACAGAACAACTCCGATGGGTTTGGTCTGCCCTGTTGGGGCCCCAAGCAGTGGCATCTCAGAACAGTTGTTTAATACAAGAAAAATCTATGTCTTCAGTAAAAGCTAGCTTTTTTCCAGTCTTATGCATAAAATACACAGACAGCAATATTTATAAATCTTGGCCAAACAATTTTGACAAATGGATAAACCCAGGTAACCCCTACCCCATCGTGATATAGAACATTTCCATCTGCAAGAACGTTCTCTTCATATTCTTTTTCTCAGCCAGTTCTCCCTCGGACTACATTAGTTTCCTAAGGCTGTGTTTTGTAAATCCCAGTTTTTTTCTAGGTTAGTCTTGAGGCCTTTCCTGAGAGCGGCTATACGGCGAAGTCAATCAGGACAGAAGTTGGGTTCAGGTGGGTCAGTCAAGGGAGACCTAGAGGAGACAGCACAACCAAGCACACCAAATAACAGAAGCCTTTTTATTACTGTCATATCCCAGAAAGGGAAGGCAGCATGACTCAGGGCCAGTAGGAAGTAGGGCGAGAAATAGTGACAGAAGGCAGATGTCCAGATTGACCATTTGAGGAACTGGGGGTGCTTCTAGAGGTGTGAAAATGGTGACTGCGCCCTGCTTCTGTTTGAGAAAGTCTAACTTGAAATTTTTAAGGCTTTTTTCAAAGTAGCATCTCCCTATGTAACCAGGCTGGCCTCAGAACTGCTAGGTAGCCCAAACTGTCCTTGAACTCATGATCGGCCTGCCTGACCTCATGAGTGCTGGTATTACAGTTGTGTGCCAGCACACCCAGCACAGAAATTCTAACAAATTTAAAATGGATTCTGAAGCAACGTGAAAGTGTAAAAATTAGAGGCTGGCAAAATAAAGTACTACAAACTGGGAGGCTTAAACAACAGGTA